TTGGCTTGGGGTTTTCTATCCTTATTTTGATGTCAGCACTTGGACTAGTTTAATTGCCATTCCTGACAAAAGGCCCGCTGACGTATTTATTCTCATGCTCAGGTCGTTCGCAGTTTTCGTTCTTCAGCTGCACACTTGCGTGCCATGGCTTATCTGAATGACCAACGAGTCTCTTCCTGAAACAAATAGCTGGTTTTCAATCGAGTTAAGTAAGCCCTCTATACAATATGATTTACTGAATAGTGTACCTCCGCAGTAAACAGGAAACAGTAAAAATGTCTGAAAGCGATCAAACCCGTCACCGCAGATGTCAATGAATTCCTGGTTGTTTCGATCAGTGCTTTCCAATTTTTTTCTCATGAAGGAACTCACAGAAATCTCAATTCGAAACCGATTTTTAAGAATCCTTTTAACCCTGCTCTGGCGTTCCCCTAGAGTTTAAAAACCCTCTTGTCACAGGGCAAAAGGAACTCTTCTAGATATTGCGATTTCTGATTTGAGAATGGAAATAGTGATCTGAAACCGGGGTTTGAGAGCCTAGACGAAAACTAAGCCACATGTTGACGAGATACATGCTCCTGCGAAGGCAGGGGATTTAGAAATTGTCATTCAGGTTTGTAAACTTTAGACTCCGTTCCTCAGTGCATTTTCAAGCGATGACAAACGAACTTTGGATGCCGGTCACTAAGTGGCCGGAAGTATCCAAGGGGGGGGGGTGAGATTGCATAGCAGTTTGCATCAAGCGGTGGCTGCTCGAGTCTTTCCGAATCTGCCGGAGACAACTTCGCATTATTCTGAACCAACCGCGGCGTTTTCTTGCAGATTTCCCTTTCTGCAAACTTGAATGGCCTACTGTCCTTGGTCGAAAAAAACATTTCGTTTATGGCCAAACTCGGTAAGAATGTTAGTAGTGGAGGTAGCGACGATAGTGATTAAAGCACACGAGATTGCAGACTCAACTGTCTTCCATTTGCGGGAAAATACCGCAAAGAAGAATCTTCTCATAGGTGTATTCTTGGTTAAGGTGTCGACAGGGAGTAAACAGGCGACCGTGGTACTTATTATAAATCACAACTGGCTCCCACGACCGGAAACTTAACGAGCTCCTGGCGGAATTTGGGATTTCAAATAATCATGCCGCTTCAAACTTTGCAGACTGATGATAACCAGGCGACAAGACAATGAGATCATGTAGGTCGGACGAAAGGCTGTGATAGTCTGTCCTAGAAGCAGCTTTTCGTCGCCGCATATGGGTGTAAACACATCTTTTCGTCGTGTTTTTGACTTTAGCCATTAACGGAAAGTTCGGCCTTCTTGACAAGTGCTTTACTGCAGTGGCTCCTTTTTACTTTGATTACAATAACGAACGGGTAACTTTATCTAGCTATCACAAGTATCGTGGTGCAAGCGTGCACGTGGCAATTGTTTGTATGAACTTATGCATGTAATTCCTTTGCGCTTCCGGTTGCACTGTTTATGAAGGTGCGTATCTAAAGAATGTTTTGAGCAAGATCCATTCTCGTCACCAGTAGCCTTGTCAATGGATTTCCGTTAGGAACTGTATAGGAAACTATAAAATGGCGGAAAGGGCATAAATGAATATCAAATGGGTGCAACTCTCTGGCAGAACACTACTCTAAAAAAGAATGATGTCCCTCGCATTCAACAGTAATTGAAAGATGTGCAGAAGAGCTCTTAGAAGGACGACCAGCGAGGATAACCACAGAAAGACAATGATAAACTAAATAAACACTACGTGCCTGTTCCTTTCTTCTGTTAACGGTTGCTGTCTTAGGTGTATTTGTCGAAGCTAGAGATTCTGGAAGGTCGCATGTAAGTAGACAACTAGTTCTACCAATAAAAGTGCACAAAGAGATGTATGAATGACCCCAAAGGGGAAAGAAGATCATGGCCCTAAAGTCTCGCCTAAGTGGGACACAGTACGCCCAATCATTTTTACACAAGACATTACGTTATTTGGAATGTAAGTGTACATGAGTGACCGGCTGCTGGGTAGATACGTTTTAGAGAGAACGCCCGGCCTAAAGTTTACCGAGAGGCACAGGTGATGGAAATGACAACGCCCAGGTAATGTGGCAGCTGTGGCCTACTTTACATCGGGGTAAAAAGACGTTTAGTCTCAGTGCACGTCCATATAATTTGAAGTTCAGAAATGTAGTACTGAGATACTGCCTTAAGCAAGCTTAGCTGAAGTAAAGAACATTTTTGGTCACATAAAAATGTCGTTCTTAAATGCGTTTCTTTTTGTCAGGTTAAGAATGGCAGAGAAAACTGGAAAATCATGTTTCTCTTAACCACAGCAGCCCATTTCAGCATACAGCAGTAACAAACCACCAGGTCTAATGCGCTATGTAAATTTCAGAAAAAAAATCAGTGCCAGCTTTGAAGGGAATTCTGTGGTACCCTGAGGAACCCAGAGTTCCCTTCCAGTGTAAACTACTATGCGGTCAAAGGAAGTAGGAAGAGGATGACTCGCTCTCTAAATCTTGCACCATTTATATGCACGCAATATACTTTAATTCGGAGCTAAGAATGAGGGTCTCTTCACGAAAACCGTAGTTTAAACAAACAACAAGGAAAACGACAGACAGAGGTTAGCAGAACAAAATCAACACTTGATTATTCAGTCTGTACTGCACATGGTACTCAACATAGTTCAGTTTTCCCCCCAGTGCATTTGAACGTTGGCTAGCAAAGTATGGGGATCGACAGGTATGCTGTCACAGAAACTCAGCGGGTGATCGGTCAACGTCACAGCATCCTAGAATCTGACATATACACCCATAGGAATACACACATGGGCGGTATAAAATGCGCTCCAGGACCAACTACCGGAGGCAGATGAAAAACAATTAAGTCTACATTAGATTGGCTTCTGGACAGTTAGCAAAAAGCTCGGTTGGACCTGGGCGCCTGAGGGGGGTGTGGCGAGAAGGGAGGGGTAAATTCTGGTTAGAGAGTAAAATCAGGCGGGAGACTTAACGCCAACCCGCTGCATAATTTTGGACCTTCCTTTCAGGTGAGTCCTGACGACGTACGAGGGGCGGCACATAGTGGCCGGTACCACCGTCTACCTCGTGAATACCGTACTCAGTGTCAGGTCGAAGCTGGGGGTATTGTTGCTGATAATAGTTCCTCATTAGTAAAGAAGAAGATCCAGCAGAACCAGTCCACGAAGTGTGCCGGTTCTCCCCACGGCCATCGGCGCCGTAGGTAAAAGAGATCGATTTTTCGGAGCCGCTGAGTTGTGTGGGAACAAAGAGCGATGATTGGTGTCGCAATGACTGTTGCTGTGATGTCCTTATCTGCGCAGTATTTGAGCGCCTTCTAAAATGTCCGTAGGCGGGTGGCATTCGTCGGTCGTGCTGATAGTTGTAGTGCTGAAATGGACGACTGTCAGCAGTTCTGCCGCTGTTCCAGGAACTTCCCTGTCCGACAACGTGCCCGCCGTATTGCATCGGTCTTTGAGACAGAGACAATCGAGAGGGGCTGAAGGAACTGTGCGCACTTGAGACGAGACCGTTACCGTAGTAAGGAGAACGATGTCCTCCGGCAGGATACTTCCAGGAAGAGGAGGCGAAGGCAGACCTGCTAATCTTGTTGTCGTAGGTCATAGGCGTCGAAGCCTCTGCCATCTTGGCGTGCGTGCTAGTGGGGACATGGCGCCGATTGTACACTGGCTGATGGTACTGCTGAATCATTTCAATGGGTCGCGAATGAGGGCTCAGGCGGTGAACGCCGACCATGTCGGTACCCTTCGCCAGAGTGTTTATACGTGTCTGGTGCTCTGCGGAGTTATAGGGCACGAGCATATACTGGGCATGGAAACCCTTCCCACTGATGGTATCATCAGTATAGAACTGGACGTGAAGACTCCCCGAGTCTGCGTAGGTGTCCGGGGGGAGCTGGAGAGAAAAGGATATAATGTACTTCGAATGACACACATTTAATTGGAAAAAAATGTGTTGAGGAAGGTGTAGAATAAGTACTTTTTCTGCGGGTATTTGTACATCAATGCGAGAATCAACTTTAAGGCCATCAAGACGAAAACACTAGAATTCAAACAAATTAAGTGTTTTTCCGGACAAACTGATATGATCTGTGATTTTGGCATTTAGAAAGTGCTTTTGAATATAACTTATTTAAACACGAAACCTACAAAACCAGAAAACATACATCTAGTGTCAGACTTCAACAGTCTACCGGTTGAATTTGCGTGGAGTACCTCGACAATCGAATATCGATTATTTTCAGAGCCGATGAAGAGCACTTGATAGTTCAGGGGTTAAAGTGATCCAAATAAAGGGGGTCGACAGGGCAGATCCTCCACAGAACGTAGACTTTCTAACTGTCCGGTATGTAAGTCAGTGTTAACCAGGGTAGGACATTAGCAATGACAGACATACGAAAAGTACACAACCGCAGAAAATACTCAATTGATAACCCATCGACTTGTCTTTTGAGGTTCGACTGTTAAAAGCGAAAGACGGTTTTTTACAAATGCTGCGTTACACGGATGTAAGATCATTTTGTTGGACACGATGACCTGCTGCAGGGTGAACAGTGACTAAAAAATTATCTGCTAAATGCATGAAAAGATGTTCTGGTCAATTTTATGCAATATACTGGAATCCGGAAAAAAAAACCCTGTCTGTATTATAGCTATGAAAAGAAAATTCGCGATATAAGTATTAACTAGCTTACAGGGCAATTAATGCGGGCATCGTCTTTTACGCAACAAAAATAAATAAAGTGTGATTCCTCGTGTCCTTGGAACACTTTCCAGAGGTTATGGTTACCTCATCCAACTGCTTGAGGCCATAAAAGACCAAACGACTACTTTGCATCCCAAAACATCGATCTTTAAAAGATAAGGCGTGTTGAGAGCTAAGTAGAGAAATGTCTTAATGCGTCAAATTTAAATACTTAACTTTAAGCAGCCATTTGGTTCCAGTTTTTTTCATATGCCCTTCAGTAAAACCCTGACAAAGACACCCCGACTACAATTCCACCCAATTCTCTGGTCGATTTTATTACCTAGTCACTTAAGAGTTTTTTAATATCCTTGAAGGAAACCCATGTGGCCATTGTTCCAGCTTAAGTCCTGCAAATGGATTCCCAGGACACACGGATGCATGCATATGGACTCAGGCATCAGTATGAAACAAAAGACGTAACTGGAACAGCTGGTGAAACTTAACCAGGTTGCTAGGAAATGAAACGCATAAACACGGCGGCAACAAAGGAATTGTGACGGTTGTGGGTCATCAATGATGCAGGCCCCATAGCGGCAGATCATCAAAAAACATACTGCGGGTATGGCGCCATAATCTGCTCTAACACACACACACACAACGCTACTTCGAGTTAATTAAAAATTGGTTAAACCCATCGATAACTTGTACTAGATGAGCGCAAGACTTTAAAAGTCCGTTTTATTTCCCTTCACTCAATAAAGCCTCCATGAGCACTTATCTAGTGCTTTAGAAGGGGCAGTAACGGCGAAATAAAAGATTCCGGCGAATTCGCTTGACGAAAGGGGAGTGGGACAATGGCAGTTCAGATATAAATAGGCAGCTTGTAGAATTTTGTCTGTAAGTAAAGGTGGAAGGCAGACTTCTATGGAATGACTGACGCATTCATTCCTGACGACATCACAATACTACATCTTCACCATATACGATAGTAATTTTTGAAATAGAACGAATTGCATCGCCAAATTCGAACATCGTGTTTTGTTTTCATTTCTCAGATGACCATGAATATGAATCTTAATGTCAGATAACCATAGTCTGAAAACGTTACTCAGCCGCCAAGTTCTCCAATTTTATAAGAATGCCACGCCATCTAAAGTAACAGGAGTCCGCCGTTGGCTCTGGAAACTCAAAGTTAAAGCTCCATGTGGTCTCTTTAAGTCGACCGATTTTAAGCCTAAACGGTCTCGCGTCCATCAGTGTCCATCTTCAGCAAATGAGAGAGTAGTCTTGAAACTCGACAAAATCATGGATGAGGATTCATTGAGCTTGCCTTCATCGTCAGAAAGGGAAAATTGTAGAATTTCGCAGCGTGCTCCACCGGAATCGAAAAGGACGATGAGGAAATTCCGACCGAGGAAAAAAGCCTTCTTGATTGCGAATTTATATCCTCGGTAGTTCTCAACTCAAGCAATGACGACCACTTGACAATAAAGTTTGTTAGAACCACCCTTAACCCGAAATTAGTATAACTCTTTGAAAAGTAATGACACGAGCGGAAGATCTATCTTGCGTGTGTTTCCCCACGTAAATATAATGAAGAATGTTTTTTAAAAAGAAGACGAACAGAAAAACGTATCTAAGGGAGCATTCAGAAAAAGGTATCGAAAAAATCCAATATTTGGTTTAGAAAATGGTTTGAAGGGTTATCAAAAAATTTGTCGGAAAACAAAGGCAGTCCGATAGATATGTTTTCTTTAATTTTTACAAAACGAAATTCGAATTTTGAAGAAGAAGCCACGATCGCGGGACAAGAGCTTTATTAGCCGGTGATCGTGTCTTCTTCTTCTTCTTCTTCTTCTTCTTCAAGACTGCTTCCTGGGACTCGTCTCTTCGCTTCTATTGGAAATTCGAATTCTTCAAGTATTTTAGAATACTATCTCATAAAGGCTGGCGTCGGAAGTTGCAAATGCTCTCATGGTACACAGGTGCAAAATAACTTGAAAATTCAATCAAGTTGATGCGCAGAACTTGTTTCAGACTCACATGAACTACTGAAAGCCGATGAAAACAAAATATTCCAAAACTGGGTCTTAAGGCGTGCGAACGTCTTCTATGCTCTTACTAAGCAAACCGTGGCTCTCGCAGCCTGGTGTGCGCTGGCAGTTCTTTGGCACATGGTTCTCTAGCGGCAGATGCGTTTTCGCTACCGCTGGGCATATAGGTTGTGAGCATTGTTGCCCAGTCATCCTCCTCTTTCTGGACCGTTGTATTGCTGCTGTTGTTGTTGGTTAAAATCCTGGTCAAGTGCTTATTGTGGACTGCGGGGTGTGGTGATACGCCTAGGTGCGGGTCCGGCCGTGCCAGCCACCTGCGTCCTCTCCTGCCTCCGGTCATCTTAACTATATCTTGATACTGAGCCCAGATGGGGAGGAGGAGAGGTTTACGGTAGGTGTTGTGCAAGTCTACTCTCTCTATAAACTAATTCACGCGAAAGTCACCGTGCCAGCTTAATCTTGCTGTGGAGCACACCGTTGACATCCTCGTGCACGATCGTTGAACTGTCATCATGTATCATGTAAAGTTTGCACCCTATGTATTGAGTGGGCTAAAAACAGAAGTACTTCATCTCTTATTCATAGAAATTAATCAAAACATTCTGGCGAAAGCCGATGGTCAAAAAGTGGTAAAAATAATGTTCAGGCAGTTGATGGAGACACAACTAACTTTGACGGTTTTAAAGCAAGCACCCTCGGAGACAGAAAAAGCTATCTGCACGCATTTCACCGGTGAGTGAGAGCCCAATGCAGTGCGACATCTGCCTCGAAGGCTGATTACAACCACATGCGGGCTACCGACAGTTGCCTTTCGAGGGCCCAAAAGACAGAGGCAGGGACACCAACTAGCTAAACACATAGCGATGTTTAGCGTATATTCAAACGGCCCCCAATATTTTAACAAGACTCCGTATATTAGTCAGAGTGGAAAACTTCCACAAACAGGAACCAAAACTGCGTCGCCAGAGGATTCACCCAGGGCGAGGTCTCTAACTGTTCAAAGGCCAGGCTAAATTTGCAGAGGAGTCAAACACTGTGGTTAAATTGGTCGACAGTTACGGCATAGGATGTGAAGGTAGCAGCGAAGACAGCAGAGATCGCATCTCAAATGAGATTTCATGGCCATCATAAAGGCCGCGGGTTCGACTTTATTGTTGACTTGGTTGCGCTTCGTGGTGTTGATTCCTCATAAAACACATACTAGAGGCATAGCGGCTACGCGACCCAGAAAAACATCATATCGATGTAGTTGCAGCCAACGCAGCTTTATGTATCAGCGTGACAGGGGCAAAGCGTGGGAAGTGGTAATGTTGATTTTGCAGTCGGTCCTAACGATCTGCTAAACAGGCAATTCGGTACGTCTAAATCGGACTCGTTATAAAGAGGGAGATGTAATGGAGTTATGTTTTTGATAGCAGGGAGTCGGCGTTGACCTTTCAAAAATCACGTCCCCGTCAGACTCGTGGAAATGAGCGTGGCCTCTTCCTTAACCCAGCTACCCAGCAGCAAGGTGGTATCTAGCGTCAATGGCTAAAGTGTGTGCACATAAGCCGCTTTTCACAAGGACAACCGCCAAGGGTGAGTGTTGGTATTAGTAATGTACTTCAATGTGACAAGTGGGTTGACATTAATTTGCACAATTAAAGTAGCATCTTCCACTTGAAAGTCAATTTGACGATTTGAGCACCCGCCATAGTTGCAGTAAATCAAGATCATCTGAGCAAACCCATAGCTAAGGTTTTGGCCCGAAGTCATGGCTTGCGTGAAACGAGCTTCTCGTCGGGGTTTACTTCACGCCTTTTTAGAGAACACAAGTAAGGAGTATTCAGCTGTTTGATTCGATTATGACACAAACTGCAATTAAACCTGCTGTAATGAACCCTGATTTTTAAAGAAGTATGCATGTATAATATAATGTAGGATGTTGGGCGCAAGTTTTTACAGAGAGAAATAAAAGCTAAGCGTACTACAGGGGATAGTACATTGACCGGAGTTTGAAGACAAGAAGAGTTCCGCTTAAAGTAGACCATCCTGAATTTACCTCCCTCGCTCAGATAAATGGTCTAAGTAAAGCATTAGTCACGTACCCTAGCCCACGGATACGACGTCAAATACGTCTCAACAACTGTTTCCGGTGAAAAGTGCAAGTGCGCTACTGCAAAACCGGTTATATGTTTGCGAAACTCAAATCCCATCACAAACTTATTTTATTTCAATGCAAATGTTGAAGCTAAACCAAAATTAATTCTATCTACTTATGGTTGTTTAAAAGCTAATAGTACATGTAGAATTCAAGACAAATCCTATGCCAAAGTTCGGTCGCATAAATTTGTCAGGAAACGAGAGCACCGCACACTAGGGCTTACAAAGCTACTAAACATATGAGGCGGCAAGTTGGGCTTTAAAATACAATTTTCACAAACATTGTCATCATAATCTTACTTTTCGGCCGCAGTATTCACCCAACCGCTGTGAAGACCCATCAGGACCATCAAAAAGTTTGACGTAATCGTATCTAGAAAAAACGGAGAGGATACATTACTGTGTAATCTCACACCATAAAATATATACTTATCTGTCAATTTAGGCACGCTGATGTAGTCAAATCTTATACAAAACAGGAGGGGGTTGATTTTTAATAGTCGAGTCCGAAGCATGAAGAGTGCTCAAGTCAAATGGAGTCGATTCGAAGGGACCTGTGAGGCTTTTTACTCTTCAGATAGCGGTCTGATGGTTGAAAGCGAATTGAGTGGTTGGAATTTTTATATCTTGCGTAAATGTACCCGCCCTAACTTTCGAAAAGCTGGCTTCATTTATTTTCGTTTCTGAGCATTAGTACTCAGGGGTAGCATAGATGAAGTTTTCTCTCATCGTTGCATTCAAATATCGGTTGGTAGTTCAAGACTTACAGTCACAGATCGCTGCATTAAAGTAGAGGAGGCAATGCGTACAAAATTCTAATTTCAGCAGGAGGCAAAAAGGATCGAATCACCTGATTTATTTTATTTATTCATGCAGTCAGTTATAACCCTAATACAAACCCAGAAAACTTTAAATGTGAATTTTGGCTAGATCGCAGTTGGTACCTAGGCCCCGCATTACAGGTGGCTGGGGGGTTTGTTTACTGGGGCTATTTTGTGGGTTTCCATAATCACATGTGACCCATTTGGCTTCCGTTTTACGGTTGAGGTTCGGATTAGGGTACCGGTTAACAGTTTCCGATTTTCGGGTTAGGGTTATGCATTTAGGCTTAGGTTTTCGCGTTACGGTTAGGGTTTGAGAGTACGATTAGGTTTCAGTATTACGGTTAGGTTTTTCATTTACGCCTCTGTCTAAGGGCTATATTTACGTTTACGATTTCGGTTAGGGTTGCCATTAGGGTTAACGGTTAACGTTTAATGTTGAGGTTGGAGTTAGGGTTAAGGTTAGGATTAGGGTTAGGTCGCTGTCCGCTTCCAATTCCTGGCTACCAACTGCGATCTTACCTGAATTTTTTTCCAATTTGAACTTGACAGTTGTTTGGTTAACGAAAATAGTTAGCCGGTTCCTCCTCGTCATTTTCCGCAACTCTCTCGACTACTGTGACTGGCTGTCCCGGGTTTATATCGAGGTTATCGGACAAAATTGAGCAAACGTAGTTTTTATGGCAATTCGGCCACGTCGATCAGCGCCATTCCAGAATGACGTTTAATGATCACACTTACAGCCAGGTGCCCGGTCGTCAGTACTAAGAGGAGTACGAACTTCAAATTTCATTTATTGCTTATTTTTGAATATAACTGTACCTCTTCTTATTTCATAGCAGCTCGAGAACTGAAAAACCTTTAATATCGAGTAAGTGAAAACATTTGCCATAAGGACGGCCGGCTGTAAGCAACGTAGACTACATTAAGATACCTGATCTGTCAAGAGCGTTGCTAATATCTAATAGTGCGGATTTCGGTTTTTAAACTCTAGCCGAACCGTCCTCTACTAGCATATGAATGATAATTATAGCAATCTTCCCCTCTCACCAAGCGCAAATAAACCAACAAAAACGTCAGCTGCAGAAGGACTGCACAACCATATGACAGAGATGGAAGATAACATTCGCGAATACCCGAAAAAAGTGTGTCTAATAAGACTAAGACGAATGCCTATTCGGGCGCTTCAAATGTCCAAGAGACTAAAAAGACCACTCCGCCTTAATCCAAATATTTCAAATCAACATGAAAACAAATCATTTGGCTGGTAGGCAACACAGTATTTTCCGTCCAATTTGAAATCTAAATAAAATAATGGTAAGCCCGCAGTGAACAACACCAAAATCGATACCAAGGTCCAGTGAATGAGTATCACTGAAAGCCTGAAGCACAAGCAGTTCACATATCTGACGTCTGACGGACCCTCTCCCCATACAGTGTGGAGCTAACCCCCATATGACCTCAAATGCTCTAACTATGCAGCATGCTACACAGACCAAACCGTTCTTCAGCCTAAGGCTTGAATTTCCAATCATTAAAGTGCCAAATAATACTGCTGCCCACAAATTTTTATATATGCAACAGGGTAACAAAAGCTCGCACAGGTGTATCCCATGAAGTAATTGCCGGGGAGCAACGTCACCAAGAACCGTGAAGTAGTGAAGCATTTTCAGCTGCTACGAGGCTTTATTATTTAGAAACCAGAATTTTAATTCAGGAAAAATAGTAAGTAAAGTACGGGTTCAACGAGGTCTTCTGGGCCTCTATAATACGTGAAAAAGTACTCGGTCAGATTGGCAGCGAAAAGAAGACCAGTCTCGAAGAAGGACTGGACATCCGATCCGTGTCGCATTTAGAAAATTTTTAATGCCACGCAAATGCATGCAAATGAAAAGACAAATTTTCGAAGTCTCACGTGCAAAGAGTCTCTTCTTCTATTTCAAAGAATGAGAAACGCAGAAGAATGGTGTAGTTTTTTAGGCTTGCGTTGATTGTCCAGAAGCACTGCTGGTTCACAGGGTAATCGAGGTCGCCAAACTTGGCATGGGAGAAGAGATTCTGGGCTGTAAGCTCGGCCTTTAACTCTCCACCACAGACTGTAAAATAAAAACAACAGTTTTCGACGTATCTTAGGGAGGGAGGCAAGGAGAAATTTTTCCAAACCAATTCCAAGCGAGACTGCAAGCAAGACAATCTCCAACTTACATGCCAAGCTGTTCCTGTGAATGCTAACTGCTGTGGCAGACAGAAAAAAACTCGCCAAAATGTGTGAAAAATTTAGCACTTACCCGCAAATTTCATCATACATATGAACAAGAGTAGGGTTTGCGATAGAAATTAGTTGCACCAAATTTCTGGTGCAAACAATATAGGCAGTTGTACTGGAATATCTAACCAGTCATTCTAGCTGATTGAAACAAACTACATTTTGTTACCTCATTCTGTCGCTCAAGCAGTGCTTGGCACATAAACAAGGCGGACAGATACGATGTTAGCAAAAATTAAAGGAAGTCTGTTGAAAATGAACTGTGAACTTATTAACATAACAGAGTCCGACGAAGACTCTTTTGAGGGGCCAGAGTGTACTGCAAGACCCAGAGGAAGGACTATAAGGAATTTGGACTAAACGAAGTCATGGCAAATAAACATCCAGCCCGAAGCTGTCAAAGGGTCAAATAGAGGCGGTCGCCAAGACTGCGGCTCCCTTTGCCGTAGAAATCGCCGTCGGTATCGTCCGGCAAGTAGACGTTACTGTGATCAAGACACTAATGTGAGGCAAAAACCACCTGAGCTCAGATAGACAATAGGTTATCACTAATCAATTTCGGCCCGGTACTTTTAGCTGATAGTTCAGAGGGCATCGTTTGCGAAACGGGGACACAAACTGACGGAAGGTAGGGAGCCATAAGCTGCCTCAAATCGCTGTCCACAATCTGAAGTCAGATCAGGAAGTAGGCTGCACTGGAGCAGAGCTAATCGTGGAGCCGGCGACAAGATGCTCTGAAAGCTACCCTGACCGCAGACGTAAACATCACAGGCTGGCATGGCGGTCTGCCTACCACAGCTACCCTGCGTTGGGTCCTTACAGAAGGGTGTGTCGTGAAGTCCACACATGCACTGTGAAGCACTAATCACACAGCTCATAGGTTACTATTTTACGCCTTGCCGGGTACTGCGTTCACGTGTATGAAAATGTCAACGTATGAAGCTAAGAAAAATCTGCATTTTTTAGAATGAACACTGAAATTAACGGATAGGCATGGTCATTGCCCAATTTTTGAAATATTGTTTACTTTTGCCCAAGGTTATTAGGTCATCCAATAAACTCCTTCGTCGCTTGTTGACTGACTTTTACTTGAACTCATGTACACGCCGAAGGTTGTTGTTTAATCAAGTTGAAAGAAGGTGCTTGCTTGCTTACTCTCTTCAGTTTAAGCTGAGAGAACAAATAGAGGAGACAGCCATTTCATGACCCCAGCTGCATCTGAAGACTCTGTAATGTGTACATGGTAGAAAAAGCAGCCCAGAGTAAAAACAACTTCATTGCTTTACCGGTCGAGTGTTGTGCCCTAAATCCTTTGCGCTGAACAGATCCATCAGCGTTAAAGGCCAGCAGTAAGGTGTTTTGCGTGGATAGTATCGGTGGCGGTTTCCGACTACCACAGAATCGGCCGAGTTGAGGGGCGTCCGTTGTCAGACCATCATAGGCCACGACACGATCATACATGCACTGCTGGTGCGACTCGATTTCGAAGGCGTCGAATACCTACAAAAATGTTTAAAAAGTTAAAGGGATGCAGAGACGATGCTTCTACAACGAACGAAAGGCACTGGCGAAGTAGATAGATTAGAGAAAAAGCCTACGAGCCACCTCAGAGTACGGGGCAATATACCGAGCAAATGCTGTCAGAGTGTCTACGAAGAGTTCGAGCTTTAAATATGTTAGTCACCAGAAATATTTTGTTCTGAAGCGGAATTGGTGTGTTAAATTGTAATAATTGCAATGCCTACAGTTACTAAGCTGTGAATCAGAATAATGGTTGACAGTTAAAAACCGCCTTTTAAAGTACGCCATAAGTCGATCCTCCTTTATTTGTGCGGCGGTTTGCAGTCTAATGGAATCGTCCTGAAGCTATTGAACCCCGAATACCAATAATGTGTCAAATTTGGAAAATAAACATTTATCCTTAGACACAGTAATCAATGGGAGTGGTTTTGGAGTGTTTTCAAACTTCATTGCGAGAAGTACGCAAAAAATAAGACAGACAAACAATTAAAACTGATGAATTGGGCAGCTACCGCAAGACTTTGACATTGGACCCGAGTACCCAGTCATATAGATTATTATTCCTAACGAATGACGCTAGCTTCCTTAAATGCACCGCTTCTCTTTCAAGAAGATATTGTAAGTGGACTCGCACTTTTTATTCAGTTAAACGCGTAATAAGATTAATACCATGAACAGTAAAAGCCAACAGATGTCACGCTTAACCTGGACAAATAAATAGACTGATAGCAATCAGCAAACAGAGCGGTCGATGTAAATAGGTCCTAAAAATGACAACGAAAAATATGCTCACCAACTTCACTCTGTGTCCCGGCGTAGCAGTTATTCTCCACTTACAGCTCTGTCGGGCGGGGTACTCACTCGGCCAGTTAGGGGTTCTCAGCTCGCCCTCGGGTGCAGATATGTCTTGTTGACAACCGGCACTTATGCCAACTAAGAACGAAAACGTGTCACCGTAGATTCTGGTTTTAAAGTAGGTGCAGTAGGAATGAAAATATGAGCCGACAATCGTTTTTGGAGGCAAAGTGCGGACAGGGCAGTTGGGTGCCTTAAGTGTTTAAAGTTAGAAAAAAGTATACTTAGACTGCGTCAGGGTTTCAGCAGGTCACATTGCAAACATCGCTCAGACTATCGTTAATGTTAATCTAAAATGCGTTTGTTGCTGATTTGTCACATAGAACAGTATTTCCAAACCAAAGTGCGCCACAACGGAGTTACTTGGGAGGCACTTGAACAGTAAAACAATCAAACCTGTGTGCCTGTTCACGAGGACGTAATTCGCTCCTAACATGGCTTGTTTCAATTAACAACAATTCTAATTTAGTCGGCCACGGTTTGGAGCATGTGAAAAAGCAATAGGACACATGGTCAGCGATCACTGACTAGATCCCCGCCGCTTTGTTTACCGCCAACTGTGCCTAGCAACTTGCGCAGAACTGAAGTTAACGGAATTAGACATTTTAACTTACGTCCTTCTGTAAATGTGAGTGCAGCGAAAGTGGTTGAGCGCCTGCTGTCTGAGCGCAACAAAGTTTCCTGCGTCGACCGGGTCGACTGGGGGTCTGACGCCCATTTAAGCCTGCACTTTGATCAAAGATTACGAGACATGCATATTCGAGAGTGAAGCATTTCGAAAGGAGACGTTAATGGGGCCGTAATGATTGTTAAATGTTCACCTCTAGGGCGGAGGTCAACTAATATAAAGTGTCGCCGTGTTATTTGCAAGCAAAGCAGTCAATTTTAACATCCCTAATTCTGCTGCTAGATGGTCAGCCTTAAGTTCTCCTGTCCGCAGTAAAAGTTCACTGCCTAAAACATTTCACTGTTTTTTTAGGAATTGGTATATGGTCCTAAAATACGCCAAAGTGCAGATGATGGGACTGACAGAAGCACTATATCTCACAACACGCCCTAGTTTAACAAACTAATGAAGTATGGGTGTTGATAGCCAGTGATGAATGAACGAAGTCTATTGAAAAGGTGATAGGACTATGAGGTGACGCCTTTGGTTTATCGATATTTAACGGAAAAGATTAACGATTAGGGTAAAGAAATACTAAATGCTAGTTTAAGATAAGTCTTGCAGATAAAATATTATCTGAGCGCTATAAATTGAAACTGCTGGCAACAGCATAAAAAAGGCTTTTTGTGGGTTTTCAAAGGGACAAATATTACAAAACTTCGTTTCACGAATTAAAGCATTGATTGGGCCTGAATTAAGATGATAAATATAAACTTTTGGAGAAAATTGGCGTCAGAAGTTGATGCAGGTACGGACCAACCAAAGTTATGAGAGAAGAAAGCGGAGGGCAATTTTAGGTGTCTCCTTAGAAAAAGGAGCCATAGAAAACCGCTATATTCAGGTCGAGTATGAGCGAGAATAGCGCCAAACTTCAAGCAGATGCGAACGAATAAATTTATTATTGCATGTGAACAATCGATCGTTTGTATTTTACAACTCAAGTTTCGCATTAATGTGAAACAGAAGAGAGTAACTATGCCATCACCCATTCCTCATCCCCTCTCCTCCCATACATCCTTATATTTGACATATAAGTGATCTACGTAAGCGTCAGTTATCTTTATTGCACATATATCTACTAGGAAGTAACGAACATCTCTGAGAATAACACAATTATTATTGCGTAAGTTTCCAGACTGGTACCCCAGCTAGTTGTCAGACCACGGGTAGTGTACAAAGACAGGTAATTAATCGTTTTTAACGGAGGATTCTACTGTTAGCTGACGTCTGCACCAATACTCGTTAGTAGCATTGCGTCGTCTTGTCGGGATTGGCTGTGTTCGTCCAAATTTGCCCTTGAACATTATATGTGGTATATAACTGGATTTGCCGACTGATGCATGCCCCATCTGAGTGCACTGCCGCCAAGAATTCACGGTCGTTTCTTTTCGAGCAGGCACCAAAAATGCGAATATACTTCCTAGCGAATTTGTACACAGTGTTCAGTGTGTGCAAGACCACTTGGGATAGATGACCTCTTCCTTACCACTAACCAATGTTCGTGTATTCGGGTCGAGACATACATCCCAGTTTAGCCACGGTAGACGGCATCACGACCGGAACGTGGGAATTTGAAAGCAGCGACTTTTCCATCTAGGTAGCCAAACCTGTACTTAGAGTGTAGAAGCTGTGTGCGTAAGATAGTTGCCTAATCGACCGACCGGAAAAAATCTTATACACAGCTTGTATATCCTAAGGACAGGGTTGTTTACCTCGATTGAAAAGCTGTTGCCGACAGTATCCCATGTGCCAGGCGTGGTGCCAGCAATTCTGGCTAAAACAGACACTTAACCCGGATACATGAACATGAGTTGGAGGTGAAGAGAGGAGGCCATGCACGCGCTGGACGCTGTGCGCAAATTCGCGTGGGAGAAAGCTCACATTGTCGGCGCCTGCCTTATAAGGAATGACCGCAAATTCTTGGAAACAATGCACTCAGCTGAGGCATGCATCAGTCGGCATACCGAATTAAAATGCCACATACAAAATCCCAAAGGACAAATTCAAACGAACACAGTTAGAGCTTATTGGCACAGATGTCGGCCAACAGTAGAATGCCTTGCTAGACACGGTAAATTAATTGCTTTTGTGCACCATCCATTGCCTGACGGCGGGCTGGGAGACCAGCATCATAAATTTGTGAAATAAGTTGTATACTTCCCAGAGAATTTTGCCAGCTCCTTCCACATATGTATATATACCTCCAAATTCCCTCGTTTCGTGAATGTAGGGTTATGACTGGAAGAACCCGAATAGCAGATATTTAAATTATGAATGATGGTCAACTTGTGTAACTGGTCGCACAGAATGAGCACCGAAATATTTAACATCCGGTTTCTGCAATCGTTTAGCCTAGAAAACTGGTTTAGTCCATCAAATTTTTTGACCAGTTACTTGACTCGCACATCAAATCTATCAACATGTCCTGCCTACAAGGGAAAAGTTACCATGCAGTATAGCAAGGAACTTGCACACTGGAATAGGACACAGGGAAACAAAGTTTCATTTCAAGTCGTTTCCTTTAGCGAAATATTAATAAAATGTGGTCCAAGGTAACGAGTATGGCGAATATTGTCTGTTGGCGGTTGGGTTCACATCCCTGCTGAGATCTTAAAGGACGATTGGACGGGTCTACACAGCGACTTACTCTCTTTGCAGTTGAAACGCCCGTGGACCTTGAAGCCGGGTCTGCATTCACAGTAGTAAGAGCCAATCGTATTGCGACAAATGTGTTGACAGCCACCGTTGTTTTCGGCACACTCGTCCAGGTCTGTGAAGAAGACTGCCCGGAAGCCAGTTTTCTGAACGGAACCGTCCGTGTAGAATTCGATGCTTAGCTCGTTGGTGTGAGAGGTGATGGGGGCTGGTAGGTTTTTGCCACAAAACGTACCGATCTTCTGTTGATTCTGCTGCGAGCCGCTGTACACATTGATGAAATCGTAGTTGCAGGCTTTCTGAAAGTTTTACGGTTGAAGAACAGATGTTGGCATGCAATTACATACTTAAGTCTGGCCTGATTTTTAAAGTTGGGATTTCTGCAAAGCAGGTTATAGCAGGAAAGGATTCGTGGGATTCACAAAGCGCTTACTTATAACAGGAACTCTCATAAGAACAGAAGTATCTACAATTCTTAGTACTCATACACATTTATTAAGTAAGTGAAGTACACAGAGAAAAGTAGAAAAGGTTGAGACTTCCTCAAACTTATTCATTCCGCCTTTGGACAGCAATAACTTCAATGAAAGTTTGAAACGCGGACCACAAACACGCGCTAAACGATCGGATACATGGCCTGTTAACATCTTTGAGTTGTTTGGTATGTCGGTAGTAATTCGCCCTAGAACAGGCGCATAGTAAGCTGTTTGGTTTACTAAAGCAAATATGCTCACGGATTTGGTGGCAGAGCTGATGATCAAGAGCGCAGTCATAAAGGTAGAATTGTAAAGGAAGGGAGAGACCGGAACAAAATCTGTTTCAAATTTACTATTGACGGCTATTGAGGGTTGATTTTTAGAATTACAGATCGATCCGTTTGAGTCCAGTTTTCTGTTTGCATTCAATAGTATCTATGATCAGATCAGCATCAGCGTTTATTGCCTATCAGCCGACAGGACCTGATGCGGAAAGAGTGTGGGTGCTTTCGGATTAATTAATAAATCCTATATGCTACCTTTGAGATTTAACCGCCGACCTTGATTGCGGCAGCGATTACAAGTGGGGCAGGCCTACTCTCGTTCAGTTTTAAAATTTTCACGCGGTTTTCCACATTAACTTCGCATTGTGTGTTAAATGAAAGTATAGATTTGCCGCACGATTTGGTCCCTTCCCACTCAAAAACCACACATTAAACAAGTGTTGTCTTAAGACTTCATTTATGGACAGAAGGACTATAGGCAGGACGGCATTACCGACAAAGACAAGGGAGACTGGAATGGCCATTTCTGGCTTATTAGCCATCGTCAACCAGTCATACCCAAGCCCGAAGTGTGGAACACCCGAGCCTCGAACTCGCGACCTGTTAGTTAGAAATCCACGCCTCTAACCACTGCGCCACGAGCCCGTTGCCCTGTCGGTTTTCGATGGGGAATATACAATGGTAGGGGCGCTCACCGATCGTTCATACGGAACTCACTCGTCGGTAATGCCATTCTGCCTACATATCATGCGCCGTTGTGCGGCTGCTGGTTGGGCTCGAGAGAGAGAGAGCCCTTAAGGCACAACGGAACGAGTGAGTTCCGTATGAACGATCAGTGAACGCCCCTGCCACAGGACTATTGTTATTTTTAAACAGAACCCAGGCGTCGGTGAACGCTATTACTTTCCAAAAGCACTGCCTATTATCCAAAGATATGGTGAAGCGGGGAGTCAATAACCAAAAGATGTCCTGACAAAGATGGACTGATCCCCCAATTTTATTAGATATTGCCGGCCAGCCATACTCCAACGCGGATGTAATGTGGTCATCTTAACCCACGGGCAAACATACGCCCCAAGTAAACAGTGATCTTGCGCTGGTTCGAGTCTTTCTAACTAACGAAGTGGCTTCAGAGAGAAGCAAAACTGTAATAAAATCATGCTGGACATTGTTAAGTAACCCAGTAGAAATCAGCCGGGTGAAGAGATTTACGGGTCTGTTAAACAGAAGGCATTGTGGAAGGCCAAATATGTCAGTGTGCTACTGAGGCCACATAAAGAGCATGATAATATAGTTTTATTGTCATTAATTGATGACAGACTGGATAAAAGTTGAACAATGAACAGTGACGTAGCACCGAACGGTTCATTTCACGGTTCATTCCTGGATAGCCGTCTTGGAGTTGGCTCTAAACAGATATATATTTATGCATTTTACTGCCAAAACCCCAATCGGATTTGCGCAGTTAATTATTTTTTACTTAGAAAAAAGGTAGTCGGGACGACCCAACCTACCATCGTCGTTAAGGTAACCGCCTCACTATTTCAGATGGATTCTAAGTCATTGATTATGAAGATGTCCCAAGTAGTGAAAATTTCTCCGGGGTTCTTGAGCTAAACTGCCCCAATCCTTTGGCAACAAGAAAAACAGGATAGGATGCAAAGCTAATCACAACTGAATAAGGGCTTATGAAATGAATAAATGGAATGGCTATCCAGAAAAAGGACAACATTTTATGCCTTCCGTAGATGTATTGAAGTACCTGATTGCCAAAGGAATCTATTTCCGGTTTAATTAAAAAATAGTCAGTGTACGTCTTTACGTGCATCGGAAACATAATGACGCCTAAAAAATTCAAATGACTTGTAAGGAATGAGAGCGGCGCGGGACGAGTTCCTTTGCTGTGAGATAAAAAGTAATTATCAGAACATAATGAATTATTTAAAAAGAGGTCGAACTAAAGCAATTAACCTTCGTTAGCTGATAAAGACTAGATCTACTGAAGTTGTTGATTGGGGCAAGAACTAATTGCCCTTATACAGAAGTGCAACGTGGATGAACAAACTGGCATCTTTCTATGACCGCACAAATATATTACTTATTAACGTAACAAAAATCAAGGGGACAAACGTACATTGCCACAAAATTTAGAGTACCTATATAGTTCTTAAACCTGACCACCGAAGCAGTATTTGTGCCTAAGCTTCTAATGACACATCCTCGGTTGGGTCTCAGGCAAAAACAGCAGTAATAATGATTTGCGCTGGATGGAACTTTTTTTGGACAAACGTAGCCAAGTTGCGACACTTGCCTCTTCTAGATTTTTCGGATAATCTATCCAATCAGTTTGAAGACAAGTCCGTTCCGTGTTTAGGGACAGCATTTACTGGCATCAAGTCCGCTGACAATTCCCTCAAACAAACTTCTTAAGAACGCGGTTTCTGAATAAGTCCTTGCCGAGTGTAACCATTTTATGCCCTTACACGTATGAGGAAAACCCTTCCGCGGGCAGGTAATTGTTAAGCCAGGCAAATGAATACACACCCAGTCATAGGTCTTTGAAAGACATGACTATAGCTCTCATTGAAAAAATTCCCATCGCATAGAAAATTCGTTACTTATAGGCAAAGACTATAGAAAACCGGTCTATTGTTTTGTTTAGGCGAGACGTCGGGACGGGAAAGTTACCTGGTTCAGAAGGTAGAGTTTGAAATGCTTATGAAATTAACCAAAAACAAAAAAATCTGAAATGTGCAGCAGAAATGTGAATTGTCGTTTCCTAAAACAATTCCGCTTTACAATTAATAACTTAGCCTTAAAATCTTCTACAACAAAGCGATTCATTTGAATAATTTTTAAAATCATATTTTTCTTGTCTGCCGAACCGGTTTGGAAAACTACAGAATAATATAAAGAACATACACTATTTCATTACCAAGGAATTTACAGGAAGCAGTGGTTTGGCACACTGAGAGACGTTTTGATCGGAATGAAGACGCGTTTTAGTAATTTGCTTGCTTAGATATGAGATGTAATGCATTTTGCTAGATTTGCAACTCATTGGAGTCTAGGAAGAGAAAACATATACTAACTACGCTGCCATTTGTAAGTACTACTTTTGTCTAAATTAGTAATCTCCTAACTGTTTTTATTTCAGTCGTAATTTCATCAAACTTTTACATAAGTAGGGGTTTCTGCGAGAATAACTTCAACGGATTAATTCCATGTAACGCAAAAGCTAGTGTTTTGCACGGCTTTTTACATACAGCCGGGGACGGCGCACTTCCCCCCTCGAATGTCATACGCTCGTTTTGCCTATGAATCGGGAGATACAATCTTAGATAATTGGTGTCCCACGTTTGCTAAACATCAGCAGAATTTGCAATCACGAGCCACTTTACCGAGATTTCAACAGTATTTTAATGTTTGCTTTGCGCTGACATACATTCACATTATGACATTTGGGCGCTCACAGATTGCATAACGGAACATGCTTGTTCCGTAACCTGATCAGTGGGCGCGCATCTGTCATAATTGATATTCCCGATCACAACCGATAGAACAATGGGTCCGTGGCTCAATGGTTGAGTGTCAATCTCCATGACCAAAAATACCGGGTCCGAATCTCAGATAATCCACGCTTGGGATTGGGTATGACTGGCTGATGACGGCCAATAAGCCAGAAATAGTCATCCCGGTCTCCCGTTGTAATATGAATATGATGAAACAATACGACTGAAAAGTGTTGGGCTAATCGTTGTCCACAGGGAATAGCTCACACGCCCACGATTGATTAATGTTACATAGGAAAGCCCTGCACTCGAATACGCTGGAACAAATACTCTCATTTCTTATAAGAGGTCATACATGTGAGAGCCAGAGGCCGAGCTTTTTGTAAAAGAAGTAATATCACAATCAGTGTTTGCGTGCCACGTGCAACAATAGCCGAAGTCTGCGAACGCAGCGTCAAAGCTCCGATCATTTTTGGAAGATCGGCAGTTTACGGTAGACTTTCCTACTTATAACACAGAAAAAAGGTGCCTTTTCCGAATAGCAGTTAGTTCGAGGATGGCTGCATTTGCAGCTCCATAAAGTTTGTTGTCAATCTATTTCCATTATTTCACTTCACAATGTCGGCTCAGTGACCAAAATTCACATACATCCAGAGCAAACATATTCCGTAAAATTGTTCATATTGGAGAGTGGCGGAGTTGATGGAACAATTCAGTCTGTTTAAACCAATTTTAATGTCTTAGAATGCAGAATCCGCAACGACTTACGTTCTTGCCCTCGAGATCAAAGTGGGTGAAATTCAGGAAGATTGTTGATTTGGGAGCGGCAACAATCTTCCAGATGCAGTTTTTGTTCGGGGGATATTCGCTGGGATAGCCGGGTGTTTGAACCGTCCCATTGGCAGCATTTATTACACCGCCACACGCGTCTGGAAAGTATTCAGACAGCATTTTAGCGAACCAACATATTACGGTGTCATTACGTGGATCTTTTAAGATGTGGAAATGTGATACTCCGTACCCAGATTTTGTTTAGACAAAATATCACCGTACATTCTTTAGAATACACATTCTTCACACGCCTATTTCCCGAATAAAGCGGTGAAATGATAAAGTCGGTTTAAAATTTCAAAATGAAAGAAAAAGATCTTAATGTTTCGTGCTTTGTTTAAAACTTTAAGGTTACATGTCTTGACTTATGACATAGAAATTAAGGAAAACGTAGTATTCACCCATTTTATTGGATAATCTACAAGACAAACAAATAGTGTGCTGGATATTTAAATCTCAAATCCACATTTAAAATGTATAACTAAGACGATTCGTTGTAGGGTAAAAACCATCACAGAGGATGAGCCCTCTCCGAGCCAAAAAGCGGAGAAATGCGAATTCGGCAGGACTTACGAGCAAAATTATGAATCATAAAATGCGCCCCCAGATCGCGTAAAATTCTTAAATAATTTTCAAAAATACGTGGATTGTTTTGGACCGCCTACTAGCGTTGGGTTTACGACAGCAATGATATGAAACATTTCGTAGTTGGATCACATGCAAAAAATGCCGGACTTCGACAGAAAAAGTCTTCGGCCCTCTGGCAATGTCTGACATTTGAGAATCATAACTAAGTTAGGAAAATAAACATTTCAGACTGCCTTTCAACATTTTTAAACTGCCTGTCACTTTTCCTTTTGTTGAAACTTGAACATTGAGACGAATAACTTGAAGTGGATCATTATTAATATAAGCGTTAAGTTCTTACAGCCTTACTAAACATGATCGACGTTTTCATATACTTGCATGACGGACATTGCCAAAAAGCTTCATGTATACCACCTCCTTGATTTATGAAATTAGTGTGATTCTCACGATGACATGTCATACCTAAAAAGCATTAGATTCGTCCATAACGGACTTAAGGGTCCTATGGAGACTGGCTCGACATACACTCAAGCGCAAAATTAACATAACTCATAAGAAATGAGTTTTTAAAAGTTGCACTTTCCAGTCTTTCGTATAATAGCATTCCTAAAGACACAGTAACCTAATGAAAACGGTGGTATACAGTGCGATTAATGCGTGTATGTTTATCTTCCGGGATTGAATGTACATACATAGTGCTGGAAAAGTGAGTCTTTTCGCAAAGAATTTAAAATTAATTTCAACATGTATCAACCTGTAACAGATATAACTCCTATAACGTTTACACTGAACTTTTACTGGTACTGCGACGCCACTTGAATGCGTTTAATTTACAAAGAGCCACTTATGAGCTCAATCCATGACTTGATGTATTACGGAGCTTGCTGCAAATTCCAGTGATTTGTAATATGCACACAATCAGAACGTGTTTACTATTTTCGGATGATATTGATCACAAGGCAAAATTAAAGTGGTTCCCGACTAGCGATCTGAGTTGAAAAACTTAAACGAAGATTGAGGAGATTTATTATTGTAAAGGATCTTGATGAATCATGACCTATTTGTTACTGAAGCGACATTTATGCAACCTACACTCGATACACCGAGCCAGAAAAGCAAGGGTTTGACTTGAAACTTGCAAATTACATCAACCATATGAGGTGCGCGGCCCCGACGAAACTGACATTCATAAAATGCTCTATCAGAATTTCGTGAAAGGCATTATTCCGTATTTTAAAGAAAGACACTCCTAGGGTCAGCTCTCCACACAACTTGAGTACGTCAGTGCCCTTTCGAAATATTTTGACTGGCTTAATATGCGGAAGTTTTCTATGTAGGTCCAGTTCTTCCTATGTGCGGCAGTCCTTCTACCCACATGAATGCTCTTTCGCAATTAACCGTTTTGCTTCAAAGAAGAATAGTAGGCAAACCAGGAAATATACATCGCACCAAAAGCGATTTCAGTTACAGTTACCACTGTAAATTCTCACTATATAACCCGTAAATTACAGTCAGATAGTGTCATAAGCCAACAGCTGCCCAGAGATTCCAGTATAGCTGTAGTGAAAGTAATTATGTCGATAAAACCAGCTGACGACTGAAGAGGTGGATGCTAGAAACAAGTTGACAGCCAGACCCGAAGTCGACCTATAACTGACAAATGAGACCTCCTTAAGCTTGAGGCCATTGATGTTGCTGGCTGGGATGCAAGGCAGACGCAAAAAGTCTGGGGAGAAACTAACCGCTCAGTCAGCCGCCACAGGAATTTGCCTGCGTCAACATTGAATTTGTGAATCTTTATGATAATGGGGGACGACGGGAAGGCTCAATATTGCCACCAGTTCACGATGCGGTCACGAGAAAGTGAAAGACATGGCGCAGGCTAAAAAATGGGATCAGAAACGCACCTACAGCTAAAATCGACGACCTACGCGCCAGGCAGCAGGCGCATGAGGGTCAGGAGTCATAGACGAGACCCATGCACAGGTCCCACCAGTTTCTACAAGGGGGCAGCGGAAGTTACCAACTGAGCGGTCAGGACAAACAGTTCCCCTTTCCCACGAATGCTTCTGCAGCTTCTGATATTCTACCTAGGAATACCGTTTTCACTGCCGCTGTGCAAAGAAATATGGTACATATTATTCTAATTTTGGTATCTAAGTTTATCTCCCATACGTGGCCACGATGGCTGCTGGGAGGCACTTTTCCCAGTTAATTTGATGCCAATAGCATTACTTTTTTGGGCTAAGATAGCTAGAAGTTAGTGGGTTGGGTCGATGCCTTTAGGCACTTTTTTAAAACTCCATCCCAGTGGACTGTACATCCAAATTCAGCAGAGTTTAATATCACTTTCACGGTCAACTGTGATCACGGTTGGATTCAAATAAATTGTACTACCCACAGTTGCAATGCGCACCGACTTGTGACACGTAGAAGTTTCAGAAAAAAATTCAGAAAGTCAGCTGCTGCCAAAATTCTTTGAACGCATGAAACTACATCTCCAACTGAATAGACGATGATCTTGATAAACGAAGTTTCCGGTTCGTTTCAATTATTGTCACAGAACATGCGCAGAATGGGGACGTTTGAAGAAACAGTGATTCCACACTTTGGGCGCGAAAATGAAAGTGGCCGCAGGGAGGCAAAATGTGGGCACTTTTTCGAAAACGTCAGATCTCCTTGGATATTTCGTATTCTCTATAGGCTAGGCGACGATTTGAATCGTTAAAGGCCACCTTCGGTAGCCGTTAATCGAATTTGGACTTGGTTGCCCAAGATACTTGGTGCCTGAGTAACTTCTGTTAGGAAAGGGAGAACGATTTACGCGTCTGCCCTTAAGTTATGCAACATTTACAGAACACGTCAAGAAGCACAACATTAGCACTACAAAAATAATGTTCAATAAAACAGGTAGATCACGTAGTTCTATATTAACGTGAAACGTGAGGATGTAACCGCCAAAGCCGTGAGTTTGCGCATTTGGGTTTACCTCTGATATAATGAAGAGGCAGCCTAACAATGGTATCACATATGCTTATATGTACAAGAACTGATGTGATATGCACACAGGCGCAAGGAGCTGGTGGTGGCAGGTCACGATTACCCTCATGAAGAGGACTGGACACTTTTCAAAATCAGGTTTTAGTCGGACTGTGTTTTCACGAACGAAGTCCTTTGAGGCAGTTCTTCTATCTCAATCCGTCTAGCCCCAAACCCCTTGTAGCCAATCGAGGCCAGAGGCTTCAATCGGACTTAATCATGATCTCTTTGACTTGACGTCATTTTCCTCATTTATCCATCAAATTTAACGCACGAAGTATTTTGCAATAAACTTGAGGGGGCACACGACAAAACTCAGAACCTACTATCAACTGAGTATCTGTTGAGTTTGCTCGAATTTTACCAAAATCTTACATCACCTTTGCGGGAGAAACCTATAAGCAGATTCAGGGCATTCAATGGGCTCTCCATCTCAGGCTTATTGACAAAGCTGGTCTTAAAAGAATTAGAGAAGACAGCCTTCATCCGGCAGTAGCCAATCGTTTGGTGTCGTTACGTTGATGACACTTTTGTTCTCTTCAGAAGGAACATGCTGTGGAATTCCCACAATCTGATCAACTCAGCCTTCCTCGGTATACAATTCACGGGACGGGAAGAAATTGGAGTGGCATTTACTTTTACGTAATGTGCTCGTCAGGTAAAGTTCAAAGGCAAAGTAGGAAAAACGGTTTACAGCAAGACAACAAACACCATGCAGCTCACACGAACTTTCCGATGGCTTATAAACAAAACTGTGCGGAAAAGTTCCTTACATGCGTACTGACTCAGTAGAGCAACCCGAAGGAAAAGCTTTTAAGGCCCAATACGTCAGCGATCAGGTTGCGGGAAAAGGCTATCAGAAGGCGTTTACAAGCCGAAGTCTACGTGGTCGACAGGGTGGACCCGAAGGGAGACCCCACCGATGCCGTGGCATGATCTGCTATAAATTAAGAATGTTTCAAAGACAACTAGGAACGCAGCTAGGGGACTGGCTGTTGGAATTTCACATCGGCTCAAAGCTACCATGTACAGCAGGGTCATCGTCGGTAGCCGTTAATCGAATTTGGACTTAGTTGCCCAGGAGACCTGGTGCCTGAGTAACTACTATCAGGAAAGTGAGAACTTTATAGATCTTACGAAAC